TATATAAAATTTGGCTCTTCTGCACTACAGAAGAAATCTTGATGTCCCTCTTTCTCTGACTAGCTCCAGACTCGTGTCTCAGAGGAGCAGAAATCCTCTCAGGGCAGGCTCACCGTCATTCCGTCCGTCATGAACAGGACCAGGGCAGCCGTGACATGGATGGCGAAGAAGGAGCAAGGGGCCCCCCTGAAGTTCTTCCTCTGGCAGCAGCTGAACAGGTCTTCATGCCCTGGAGGAGGCACAAGAAGAGCAGGGCAAGGCTCAGCTGCTCGCCTGTGCACACCCGGGAAGAGGCAGCCAGGGTGCTGGCAGACTGGGGAACCACTTGCTGCCCCCCACTTTCTCTAGCTTTCAACCATCTCTTAGGAACCTCAGTCTGGTGGAAGAGCGTGAGTGAGGTGCCCAAGGTTGCACTGGCGGAGTTAGGCAGAGCAGGCTGCAGCCGGAAGCCCCCCTGAGCCAGGTGTGGAGGCCTGAGTTGCAGAGACCACGGTCACCGCAGCTTACACCCAGCTGTGCGGGAGGGATGGCCTCCTGGGGGGCTGTGAGGGAGCACGTGCAATAGAGCCCCACCTGGGTGTGGCTGAAACCGCGGGGACAGCGAGGACCCATCTTCCTTCTCGGGCGGCTGCGTCTCCAGGGCGAGCTCATCTGCAGACAGGAGCAGGGGCCTGCGCTGGGGGCAGCAGGTCAGCAGCCGCTCTTTGGACAGCAGAAACAGCACAGCCAAGGGCACCGGGAGCTGGCGGTGGGCAGGGGTCAGCTGAGCCAGAGGCCGGGCTCCCCCTGCCTGGGCCTGGCCCACCTGACAGCTCCGCCTGTATCTGAGAGTCCTGGGGAGGGGGAGGGGGCTTTGCCAAGGGCGCGCCCGCCTGAGAGCAGCACCCAGCGAATGCAGCCAGGGCCCGGGGTCTGGACAGGCTGTCACTGCTGGCCACCCTGCGCCACATTTCCCTGAAGAAACAGGCCCTTGTCACATGCAAAGCCCAGCCCACGCCGGGCACTGCTCAGCACAGGAGAGGCGCCAGGCCTCCTTTCTGATGTTCTTATTTTAAGCTGTGCAGGGCGGCCTCACACGCCTGCGTGCTGGGAGGTCACGTGGTGCTTTACAAAGACATTTTGATCGTGTTTATCACAATTTTATAAAATGCACTGAGAGGGCCCTCCCTGGTGGTGCAAGGGTTAAAGCGCAGCACTATGAAGCTTTAGCCACAGCCACTGTAGCACAGGTTCAATGCCGGGCCAGGGGGCTGACCCACATGGCAGAGCACACCTGTTCTGTCTCGCCCGCTGTTCCCTCAGCAGTGAATTTAAGAACACCTGCCTGTTCTGCTCCCTACTCTGTCTCTGGTGAGTCCTCTTACCCGCCCCCCTGCATCTCTGGCTTATACCCTAGTTCTTGTGTGCATAAATATATATATATATATTTTTTTTTTTAAAGATTTATTTATTTGTGCATACAGAACTGGGGTACAGGCCAGAGGCTCAGGGGCTGTGAGAGGCTTCACCAGAGACAGAGTGGGGAACAGAACAGGCAGATCGACGAAGTACACTGCTGAGGGGAGCAGCGGGCGGGCCAGGAGAGGTCTGGCTCGCCATGTGGTCTCCTCCAGGGCAGGCGGGAATCGAACTCATACGGAAGTGGCTTCAGATTCTCAGTGCTGTGCTTTAACCCGCTGTGCCACCAGGGAGGGCCTATATATATTTTTTAATGCACTAGAGGGCCCTCCCTGGTGGCGCAGCGGGTTAAAGCACAGCACTAAGAAGCTAAAGCCACTTCAGCATGAGTTCCATCCCCGCCCGCCCCGGAGGTGACCACATGGCGTGGCTGACCTCTCCTGACCCGCCCGCTGCTCTTCTCAGCAGGGTACTTCATCTATCTGCCTGTTCTGCTCCCCACTCTGTCTCTGGTGAAGCCTCTCACTGCCCCTGCACCTCTGGCCTGTACCCCAGTTCTGCATGCATAAGTAAATAAATCTTTAAAAAAAAATGCACAAGAAGGAATTATCACCTCATTTTCCCAATGAGGCAATCGAGGCTCCAAGTCATCACTGTCATAACCTGTGACAACTGGAAGAGAACTGGTGGGAAGCAGGGACCCAGGGAGCTGAGGTACTGGGGTGGCTGGTGGGCCAGAGCTGATGGTGAGGCACCCCCACCTAGGGCCTGGTGATGTCACACCCCAGGGGAGCAGAGGCCGTGCTGGGGGCCCGTATGGCTCAAGTGGAAAACAGACATGGGGTCCTTTGGATCAGTGTATGCTGACAAGCAACGCACACCCAAGTCCAATGTTATGTTCACTGCTATTTACATTGTGGCTTAGGCTTTACCCGAACTCCCCAGGGCAGTGAGAAATGTCTCCTGCTTCTGAGGTTGCCTGGAGAAGCGTCGCCACCTCCCTCAGGTGCTCAGCCCTGTCTACCCTGGAAGCCAGGAAGCACCTCTTCAAGATTAACCTCTAGCCTTCCTGCTGCAGCTCCATCCCAATGCCTCTTATGCAGGAAAGAGGAAGCCCAGAGAGCTGCGGAGGCTTCCCAGAGGCTGGCAGGCACCTCTGGCCCGGGAGAGAGGCCAGGCAAGTAGAGATGGAAGCCAGCAGGCGGCCAGCCCCTGCCTGGTGCTGCTCGGGGGAGCCCCCCTAACGCCTGCAGGTGACTGGCTTACACGAGCATCTCCCATCACCTGACCACCACTCCGTGCCGACCTGTTCTCTGTGGGCACCTTGGGACCCTCCATCCACACTCAAATCAAACTCAGCCCAGCCCCACAGCAGGAAGTACAAAGGGGGCCTGATGGGAGGAGACGGGGTCCTGCCCCGAGATCTCCCAGCCTGAGGAGAGACAGAGCCCTCCCTCCTGTCTGAGGGGGGAAACAGGAAATCTACACACACCAGCCAGGTGGCACAGTGCCTGGGCCAGCCCATGAGGAAACAGCTGTAAAAGAGGTGTGGTCTGGTGGGGCTTTCCCGGGAGGTGGGTCACGGGAGGGCTTCACAGAAGACTGGCCGGCCTGGGGTAGGACCTGCCTGATCTCCAGAAAAAGCCCATTGAGGCCAGGCAGGAGCCACCTGAAACGCAATGCCAGGCTGAGCCTGGGTGCGTGTGTGTGTGTGTGTGTGCACTCCATTCTCTCCTGTGACTCTTTATCTTTAGACACAAACCAGTGGAACAGCCCAGAAATCCTGCAGTAAGCAAATACCAGTCTACTCCTCACAAGGCAAGGGCAAGCAGACCTCCAGCTTAAGATGGACCCCAGCTCCCTGGTCCCAGCCTCCACCTTGACATTGCACGACAGTGTGAACCCCCTTGGCGGGCACAGTCAGGGCTCCAGTTTCCAGTAAGTGACAGGGTGGGCAGAGAAGGGCAAGGCCAGAGGGAGAGGGCTGCGCTCTCTGTGTCCAGTGAAGACCGGTACAAAGGAAGCAAAGGCTTATATAAAGGAGAGAAAGGGACAGTCGCCTCAGGCTGGCTGCTGGCTGCAGGTGGGCTGCTTGTGCTAGCAGTCGGGGTTCCTGCCTGGCACTGGCTCTGAGCCAGTGACCAAACGCCGCCCCCTGCCTGGCTGCTCAGTGGTATGGTGGTCTCAAGAGCCCCCTTCAGTGCTGCGCACAGGGCCTCACACCTAAGTGACAGGGGCGACAAGTCTGTCTGGTGCAGAGGCTCGAAGTCAGGGTGAGAGCAGAGGGCACCTCCACCCCCCCAGGCAATGGGCCACCTTTGATGTTCACATCCCAGTCTAAGCTGGGCCAGGCCAGCCATGACTGCTCCTGGGTCCCCACAGGTCCGTCCCAAGCTGGGGCGAGGGTCTCTCCCCCTCTGGTCCCAGCTTGGGCGGAGGTGAGGACCCTCTGATGGTGCAGAGACCAGACATGACTTGCAGCAAGAGGCCCGCCGTGCTGGCAGGTGGGACGAGGGCAGCGTGTGCACAGGCCTCGCTGTTTGACCAGCCAAGGAGGCCTGTTCTGCTTTGCTCCCACCTCTAGGGATCATCGGGTCTGTGCCTCGCCTCTAAGGGGAGCCCATGAGCAATGAAGTTCCCCAAGGGCCCCTCATATCCCAGTACTATGTTCCTGGGTCACTTCTTCTGGGGAAGAGCTGGTTTCCCATAGTGCCTTGGAGGTCTTGAAAGTTGACATTAGTTCTCTAATTAGGTACTAACCCTGCCCTCTGCTTCACCTCCCTTGAGAATGACCATCACAAATTCTCGCAAAGGAAGGGCCTTACAGGTGACCTGTGACCTCTCTGTGCTCAGGTGAATCCCCAGGTTAGTTCTCCCGGCCCCCTCAGCTCAAAGGCTTGCACTGGGGGCTGGTGTGGATGGGGGGCAGGGCCCAGCCAGCGCTGCCGCAGCAACACTCACATTGATCAGGGCCATGATCCAGAAGGCGTAGGACACTCGGGTCCCAGCCCCGCCCTGCGGGGAGCCCGGGGACAGCATCTGGTTGGCCTGGGGCCGGGCCTCAGTGTGGTGCTGGCCCAGGACCCTGGAGGCATGGAACAGGTGGCTGCTGGAGGTGACATTGGTGGTGCTGTTGGCAGGCAAGCAGCTGGTCTCAGACAGGAAAGGGTCAGCGATGAGGGGACTCAGCAGAGCGCCAAAGCCCACAAAGAAGTGGAGAACCTGTGGAGGGAGGGGAAGCAGGATGGCTGGAGGCTGCTTCAGGCTTCATCCCCCACCCTAGGTCCCACCTGGGGAGCCCCTGGCTGGTCCCCAAGTGGGGAGCAGGTGAGCTGAGGAAGGAAGCTCCTCTAACTGTGCTCTCTGCCTGAGAGGCCTAGAGCCAGTGGCCAATCCCCTCTTCCTTCTCACTTATTTCCCGAGTCATGGCAGCATCCAGCAGCTAAGGGGACAAAATAAAGGGGGGCTGGATTGGAACCCTAGATAACTGGGAAAAGGAAAGAAAGAAATAAGGGGAGGAGGAAGGAGCCAGGGGAGAAGGGCATGTTCTCCCAGCTCCACTGTCCAGTTTACAGGGTCCATGAGGACCCCACAGTGCAGGAGGGCACCCCACTTCAGAGCTAGAGATAAACAATCTGCAAATGGATAAAATTTGAGAAGAACAAAAGTAGAAACAAGAGACCTAAAATCTGGAGTATCTGTCTGCCCGGATGCGCCCAGCTAGGAGTGGTTTGCTGGGCAGAGACCCTGGCGCTTTTTCTGAGTCACAACACTGGCCCAGGGCAAAGACCCCTGGACCTGTAGAAGGGACTGGGAGGGATGGAAAGGGCCCGGTGGGCTCCCCAGCCCCCCCTCCACCAGGCCCCACCTCCCCTGCTGAGCTCACCTGCAGGAAGACAGCCGAGTCCTTCTGGTAGATCCTCACCAACTGCATGTTGGCCACCGTGTCGATGCAGCCCATGGCCAGGCCCGCCAGCGCCATGACGGTGGCCAGCACCTTCACGTTGTGGCAGAAGGGGATGACGGCAAACACCAGGGAGATGGCCAGAGAGGAGGTGAAGAGGGCCCAGAGTGACTGGGCCAGGCTGCGGAAGCGAGCGGTAGGTGAGAAGAGGCTTTCAGTGAAGGGCCCCCCCCCCCAGGCCGCCAGTCCTGGTGGCGTGGGGGAGCCCACACATTTCCCTGCCTTCTGGTGGAAAGGGGAAGGGAACTGTGGAGAAGCCCTGTCACCGAAGCATATTTTCTGTGTCTCTGTCTCCTTGAATAACAATCTCCACGTCCTGGGGAGTCGGGAGAACCCAAGATACTACGCAACAGCACGCTGGCTCTCCATTACTGACAAGCACTTTTAGGCTGTTTACTTAAATGTTAGATCTGTTCCTTATAAACAATCACTTGCAAAGATGCCTCCATTCATTTCAGGGACAGCGATTTGAGCATCACAGGACAGTGCCGTATGCACGAAACAGAACCTGAAAGGCCTCGAGCTGGCTGCTCCCCAAACAGGGATGGGAAAGAGGCCAGGCCCTTGCCAGGCCTGAACTGCCTGGGCCAAAGCCCACAGCAGGGGTATTGGAGCAATTTGGTGCAGAGATGTCAGGTTCTGTGCTCGGCGAGTATCCGGCAGGGAGGCCGTGTGGTCTGAGGGGGGGTCAGGACCTGTTCCTCCATAAGTAACTGAATGAGTGAGTAAGTGAGTAAATGGAGTGTCTGGGTCCTGTCCAAGTCTTTCTGTTACACTCTACTCAACAGTCAGACTCTCAAGAGAAAAGGAAAGGGCCTGTATTTCCTCAGACCAATTTAAGGTCAGTGTAGGTGGAAGAAGATTATGCAGCAGGGAAGAGAGAGCTTAGGGAGGAACATTCTTGGACGGTGAAAGGTGGGTGAGCTTCCAGGCAACCTCATCTGGCTGCTGGGCTTGGGGAGGTGTGTATATGAGGGGAGGGGGGTACAGTGGGGAGCTAGGGGTGTTGTGAGAAGACCTCTCTGAGTTTCTGGCACATTGAGGAGAAGAGGGAGGTCTCTGAAAGATGCTGCTTCTGCTTGGAGGTTCTTGCCTCTAACACCCTTTGCTTTCAGCTCATCTTGCCCCAACTTTGATTCAATCCATTATCAGAGAGGATTTTATTATTTTTAAATTTCTTACTTCCTGGAGGACCTGCTGAGCATGTTACTAACCATAACCCTTGCCTGTTCCCAGCTCAGAGCTATGTTTGAGAGGGAAGGAGGACCTACTTTACAGGTCACTAGGAAGAATACAGAGAGGGTCATGTTGTAGGAAACCTGTTCAGGCTCCCCGCCCACCCTCTGCTCTGCAGTGCCCAGCACTGACAGCCTGAGCCTCCCATGGAGCTTCGTATGTTGCAGCTTCCCGGCATGCCTGTGGGCTGATAGAAACCACCTCATAACAATACTCTCCCTGCCCCTTCCCTTCTCCTAACAAGATAAAAGAAGCAGCCTTTTGGGAGGTCCTGACTTCAAGGGTAGAAAAGAGCCCTCTGGCTTCCTCTCAGATGCTCCCCCCCACCATTGACCTGATGCATGGGGCATGACCTTTCCACCACCCCGCTCACAACTTTGATGTCCCCAGTCAAGTGCAAATACACTCTTGGAGAATTAACACATTATCTTAGAAGCAATTATTGTATATAGCAAGCTTGCAGGTTACAAAATCAACATACAAAACCTGTTGCATTTTTATATACAATTAGTAAAAGAAAAAGAAATTCATAAAACAACTTCATTCACAATCAAAAGAATCAAATATGTAGGAATCAATCTAAACAAGGTGGTGAAGGACTTATCAATGAGAACTGTAAGACTCCACCAGAGGGTATAAGGACAGACATAAAGAGAGAGGGAGATATACTACGCTCATGGATCAGGTCAGATACAGTCAAAATGACTATTCTACCAAAATCAACAGATTTAATGATATCCCCACTAAAACACCAATGATATTCTTCAAAGAAATAGAACAAAAAATATTAAAAATTATATGGAACTATAAAAGTTCTCAAACAGCCTAATCAGTCCTGAGAAAAAAAGGAGAGAAATTGGAGGCAAGATGCTACCTGACTTTATACTATAAAGCAAAAACAACAGTTTGTTTTAATTAGAACAAAATAAAATCATACACATGGATCAGAATTGAAAGCCCAGAAATAAATCCACACATGTCAATACTAAATGCATGATTAAAGGAGTCATAACCATACATTGGGGAAAAGAGACGCTAACAACTCCACGCACAAAAATAAACTCTAGATGCATTAAAGAATTAAATATTATATCCACACCAATAAGATAAACAATAAGATAAATAAGAAGAAAACATTGGTGGTACTTTTCATTACATCAATGACAGAGATGTTTTTAGAGACTGGACCACTGAAGCAAGAAAAATAAAAGCAAAAATAAAAAATTGGGATTATTGTTTAAAAGTGAAAAAAATACGTAAGTATATTAAAAAAGAGATCTTACTGAATGGGAGAAAATAGTCACTTTCTACCACTGGGAAGGGGTTAATATCCAAGATACAAAAAAAACTTACTTTAACCACCAAAAACCCAAATAACTCAATTAATAAATGTCAGCAGATCTGAATAGATGATTCACCAAAGGAGATGTCCCAAAGGTTCATCGTCACTTTTAGTTAAGGGAGATGCAGGTCAAAACCAATGGGATAGCGTCTCATACCTGTGAAAAGGGCACATGTCAAAAAGACCGCCAAAAATGCTGGAGAGGATGTAAAGAAAGAGGATGGTGGGATTGAAACTATCACAACCATTTTGGAAAGAGATCAGGGTTTACTCTAAAAAAACTAAAAATGGAAATACCATGTATCCCAGCTCTCCCATTCTTGGGCATCAATCCAAAGAACATAAACTCAAACATGTATATGTTCTACAGTACTTACTACGACATGTTTTACAACAGCGAGGAGATATTGATAGAAACAACCTGGTGTCCATGCATAGAGGTGGGATAGAGGAGATGTGGTAATAGCCACTAACTGGCTTGAAGGAAAGACAAAATAATACCATTTACAGCAAAACAGGTGTTCAA